CAGGTAGCCCTGTCCCAAATCACTGAAGATTTTCTCTGAGGAGACTGTCTGCACATACCACTGCAGGAAGATGACGGAGTGACAGGTCTGTTCAGACTTGGTGACATTTGCTGTCATTGTGCCAAAGAAGGTGAGTCTGTGTCCAAAGATGGTAGATGGAGCAAGAGCAGTTCCAGATAGGTTGCCCAGGATAGCAATCATCCATCAAGCACCCAGGTGACATGGTGGCCTCTCAATCCTTGACAGACTATGGAACGCCACAGGTTCCAGCAAGGAGCTAGTGGGAAAGAAATCATTTTCTCAGAGGGTCTAGGAGGGTGGAGAGAACTCAACTTGAGCCCAGGAGAAGTGGAAGTAGGGAAACCAGCTTAAAGAAGCACAGTTTAGGGCTCCTCTGATGAAGGCTAGGGGAGGCCGACCCTGTGAGGCCCACTTGCAACTTGCAGGGGTGTGACAGTATGGGCATGGCCTCCAGCTGTTGCAAATAGCTGTCTAACACCCATTGGAAAGCAGGGGCCTGGGCCAGCCGCAGGCCTGGAAGAGGCACCTTAAGTAAGGAATAACAGAATGAAGCCCCAGGCCCAGGTCTAAAGCAGGTCGATTCAGCCCCCATCTCCATTGGCCCTGAAGTCTACAATAAGCTGAGAGAAGAGGGGTGAAGCCACCAGCCAGAGAGTATAGAGCTATCCCTTGAAAAAGCCCTTCATCCCTAGTTCTTATCCCAAACACCACCTTGATGCCTTCTCTAGAGAAAGGTCACTAGGAAACGGTCCTCTTAGGTACACTGCAGAATCTATCAGACAACATGCGCTCATCCCTCGCGTTGGACTTCTTCCTCACTGTTTAACTTCCCCTGACATGACTGACGCTAAGACCAGAGGGGAAGTTTGAGACACCCGAGTAGTCAGTGGAGTTAGGTATCTGGCTAGGACACCTGGCCTCAGTTCTGACCCCCCTACTGAGCATCAAGACCCACAGGCATCCAGTGGAGGAAGGGGACACACACCCGACCCCTGACACCATCCATCTGGCTGCCACCCCAGGCCCCACCTCCACCACCCAGTTCTCCTGGGCATAGACCTGATGAGTCATTCGTGAGACTGAAGTCATTAATTCAGGAAGGAAGCCACGCTAGCTGCCTCCTTCTCTCTGAGCGCTTGCCACCCTTGCAAAACAGATGAGTAACGAGACATGTCCAGAACCCTTGTTAAAACCATTGCCAAGAAAGGTGTCTGCAGCTCCTCTGCAGTGCAAAGCCACGCTACGGGCCCTGAATCACACTGGATCCGGGGGAGGGCAAGGCCTAACTTGTCTGAGTTCAAGGTTGCATCACAGAGACAGGCAAGGAGAGAGATTTACCCCATCACCCAACCTAGCCGCCCCACCCACAGCCGCAGCTGGGACAGTCCCGTTCTGTGGTGCCCTACTGCACCTGGAATTTGGGGAGTCCTAAGCGGGTGAGAGGCGGGCATCTTGTGAGGGATGCCAGACACCAGATAGAGCTCCGTGGTCCTGACTGGCAGAAACTGAGGTCCCCAATGACAGTGGCACTTGCCCCAGGTCAAGCAACTAATTTAATTAGCAGACAGAACTTCTATCTCTCAATGTTCTTCCCGTAACAATCTCTGCGGCACCAGATGCCAGTAGCAGATCATTCCAGTTTTCTCTGTTAAGGCAACAAACAAAAAAACAAAACAAAAAAGATTAAATCAGTGTAGTAGCACACTCTAATAGGATGTGCTGAAGGGTTGGAGGCAGGGGAATAATATGAGGTCAAGGCCCTCCTGGGCTACACGTTTCTGGGTGCTGGAGAGATGGCTCAGAGGTTAAGAGCGCTGGCCGCTCTTACAGAGGACCTGGGTTCAGTTCTCGGCACCTACATGGCAGCTCACAACTGTCAGTAACTCCAGTCCCAAGGGGTCCAAAGCTTTTTTCTGGCCTATACCAGCCCTGCACATATGTGGCACACAGACATGCATGCAGGCAAAACACTCATACACATAAAATAAAAATTTTCTTAAAGGAACAAAGTTTAATGATTAAATAAAATGAAACCCTAATTGGCCATGTACAAAAGACTGACATCACAGGACAAAAGGCTTCCCAGCTCCTACTCTAAGACTCGAGGGAGGGGGCTGCCTGAGCCATATCTGAGGGGCACTGAGTGGGAACTGAGGTAGAACTGAAGCTTCAGATGAGACAGAGGGAAAGAAGCACCCTAAGATGACCCCCACATGGGGCTCCTGGGAAAAGCTGACCAGGAACTCCTTCTGTTGTCCTTCCATCCCCCAAGAGTTCACATCCAAATTCTATCATTCCCATTTCATAGATAAGGAAACTGAGGCTCGGACAGAAGGGAGTATTGGACACTCCAGATTCAAAGCTAAGGTCTCTCTCTGTCCGTGGTTCTCAACCTTTCTCATGTGGTGACCCTTTAATACTTTTCCTCATGTTGTGGTGACCTCTAACCATAAAAGTATTTTCACAACTGAAGCAGCAATTTATCATTCGCAACTGTAATTTTGCTACTGTGATGCATCGCAGTGCAAATATTCCTGCTTTCGGCTGGACTTAGGCAGCCCCTTATGACAGGGTCATTCAAACCCCGTGGTACCTGGAACATAGAGGCATCCAGCCAGTGTTGCTTGACCCCCCCCCCCCCAGAAGAGAGCCTGCGACGGCGCTCGCAGAAGCTACGACAGGGAACGATTTGTATCGTTCAGGACGCAAATACTTGTGGTGCAGATGGAAGAAAGGCCAGAGAAGCACCACCCGCCACTCGGACAGCCAAAGTCCAGGGGAGTCAATCAAACATCAGGACTATTAATTACACACACAGACCCACTCTCTTGCTAATTTTTAAGCTTGCCCACCCTTCCTCCCCGGCTGTACACCAGTAGTCTATCCTGATGGCGGTTCCCAGCCCAGGCTCCTTTTATCCAGGCTCCAGGACTCTCCTTCAGGCTTGCCCTTCTTATCGACCGTGGATATTTGTAGGAGGACAATCCTTTTTTTTTTTCTTTTAAGATCCTTCCTCCTTTCATTACTGCGCTCATTAGTCCATCAATTATTTACTGCATAGCCATGTGCCAATCACATTGTTGATATCTGTCTGTATGGTCGGAAATGACAGGATTTAGAATAGTTTTCAAAGGACCAGAGAGAAGAGTTACTCACAAACACTAAAGTGAGATCATTTCTAAGCAATAGATACATTAAAAGGAATGCATTTTTATTAATGTATTATTATTTATTAATTCTTCTGTCTTGAATGAAAGTGCCATCACCAGAATAGAATCAATAAATGGTAACATTTTCCTGTCTGATATTTAAAAAAAAAAAAAAAACTGCCTTGCAAAGGCATGGAGTTTAATTTCACAAGCCTTGGTTTCTGGACCCTGGGTCTTCCCCCACCCCCCAAAGCAGATACATGAGGTTCTAAAATTGGGATAATAAGGTTTAGCAGTGAGAAACCCTGAAAAAGAGAATCATTTCTCAGTTCTCATTTGTTAATCTCTCTTGGTAACAGTATGAGTTAGTGCCGTGTGCCCCAAGGCAAACTCAGCTTTCCCAGGACAATTAAAGTTACTTAATTATTGAAGGCTATGTGTGCTGCTGCCCAGAGAGAAAGAGGCAGCCGGGCCCAGCTCCCACAGTCCCCACAGGAGTGACCGGACCCTGTGGGAACCCGGCTCCTTTCCCTCACCATTGTAATTCTTTCAATATAATCTATGAAAATCCCCTCCGTGCGTGCTGCTTGGCCTGTCCCACCCCTGCATGAATGATTTAGGGGCTGTAGCTGCTGAGCCTAGCCTGCAGGCTCCTCCAGCCTCCCCCAGGGTTGACTCTAGATTCTTCGGGCCTAGGGAGAAGAGGCGGAGAGATGGCAGGGCCCGCCTGAGCATGCACAGGGAGAGCATTGGACAACCTGAGCCTTTGGTATGAGTGGGTTCCTGCTGGGCCCATTCTTCCTCCGGCCATTCCCTATCCTAGAAAGGGCAGAAAGGAGGAAGCTGCCCTGGCCAGGCGCTCAGTGTAGTACATGTTGCCAAAGGTGAGCAGAAATTTCACTCACTCATTCTTCTGGGTGATTCTTTTTCAATGTAGTGAAGAAACTGGAGGTGGCCCTTAGCACCCATGGGCCCTGGATGCATCACACCTCTGTTAGGAGCCTTGGATTTATAGACAAAGGCATCTTCAAAGGTGTCATCAGGAACCTCCAAGCCCTGATGTTTCCACAAGCCTACTCTTTGCCAGAAAGAAAAATGGCGAATTCCTGTCTTCCTGTTCCCATTCATTTACTCAGCGAGCGCCCACTTCGTGCCAGCAACAGCAGGAACAAAGCAAGAATGCTCCTGCCCTCCTGGGGGTGGCATCCTCTTTTCCCCTTCAGGGTCTTACATACAGGGGAACCAGAGGCAGGGAGGAGAGGAGGCTGATCCTGGGAACTTCTGGCTCATCACCATGAGGCAGGTGGAAGCTCAGGGCTCCCAGACCAGCCTGGAGGACCCCATGCCGTTGCTCCTGTTCCTTCTTATTCCTTTGCTTTTCCCTTCTGCCCCACCAGCTTTTCCCAACCTCAGCTGCACCTGGTTCTCAGGCCCTAGGGGAAACTAGTTCAATGGAAGTGTGTTGAATACATACACACAAGCACACACGCATGCAAGCATGTGCACACACCACATCCAGAATCTCGAATGGCCTAATATTGCAAAAGTAAGAAAAAAATGGGTGAAGTTGATTTGTCACATTAAAAAAAATAATAATTCACTTAACTTTCCTTCATGTGCCTTAGTGTAAAGTGTCAGATCCCTTGGGACTGGAGTCACAGGCAGTTGTGAGCCGCCATGTGGGTGCTGGGAATTGAACCCAGGTCCTCTGGAAGAGCAGCCAGTGCTCTTAACCACTGAGCCATCTCTCCAGTCCCCAATTTGTCACATATATTTATATATATTTATATATATAGCTGATATATTTAAAATATGATTTAACTTGAAATAAATGTTAAAAACAGTCTTAAATAAGATGGTTTACATTTTAAAATTAAATCTTCAAAGTCTAGCTTGCATTTTACCTTTGTACTCCGTCTTGAAGGGACCAACCATATGTGTGGAACTGCAGTGTGGTTAGTGGTGACAATTCCTTCACGTCCCATCAATATGCCTCAATACTCTTTGTTCCTGCCACAACAAAAGGCTCCCCCAAAAGGCTGGAGCCTGGCTCTTTAGTCACTACGGGCATTTTCCCAAACAACATGGGGGTGCACTCTGCAGCTAACAGAACCCAACTGAGGATACTGGCGTGGACTCTCATGGGAAAGGTGAACATAGCCGGGTCCAAGCACCATACGCACGTCTGGCTGTTCTAGCTTACACCTCCCATTACAGTCATCTTGAAAACCCAACAACCAGATGAATATAGGGAGGGGGAGGGCCGGGAGACTGGCAAATTTCATAATATGCACTGACCTTCACCTTCTTGCTTTGCTCGAGTATAGGATGTGGTAAGTATCGAAAACGCAAAATGGTAATTCCTTGGTTAGTGGGCACGCTCTGGCCACAGCCTGCCCTGCCCCGTGCCCCTTGCTCCTAGGTCCACTTGCCTCCATTCCCCACAGCTGTGCATCAGGCGCAGATGCAGGTCCAGTCTGTGTTGTCGAGGCTCCTCCACAATGGGAAGGAGGGAGCTCAGCAGTGGCCCAGGGCAGGAAGACATGATGCCGAGTGGCTAACGGGCCATCTTCATTTCTGGAAAGATGGCACTCCCGCACCCTGCTACCCCATCTCAGGGATCCCCGTGTCGCCTGGATACAAGAGCTCCATTCTCTCCCAGATGAGCCTTTGTGGGTGGGTGGTCAAGGAGGACCATCCTCCTACCTTCCCAAATGGTGCCGTTTGTTCTCAGATGTCCTTTCCAGAGTCAGCATGCTTCTCGGCGGATGGCCCCTCTCAGGCCTTGCTCCTCACATCTGCTTGGCACAGAGAGCGATCAAACTTTAAAAGAAAACGGAGCACAGATGTGTTGGCCTGTGTGTGTCCACCTGTGTGCACCCGTGGCTCACCCTGTCACTCAGTCTTTCTGGTCTCTATGCACCCTCGGGGTTCAGTCAGAAATGAGAAGTTGGCCCTCAAGGAGTTTACAGTCCAGCAGGAGCCGGAGGTGTCAAGTGAAAAGTGACTCACTTCTGCCTGTCATGGAACAAGGATGGAAAGCATGAGAAACTGAGGCACACAGACTGAGTGCGTGTTCAGCGAACACTGCCCTCAAAAACTGGTCTTTCAGCTGAGTCAAAACAGGCACGTCGGGAAACTGGAGGATGTGATAAGTGAGGTTCACCTAGACGAGGGCCTCCAAAGCCCAGCCGCTAGTGCGTTCCGTGCCCTTGAATAAGCTACGTACCCTCTACCTGTTTGCTTGTTTTGTTTTTCAAGATGGGGGCTTTTCTGTGTAGCCTGAGCTGTCCTGGAACTCACTCTGTAGACCAGGCTGGCCTCGAACTCACAGAGATCTATCTGCCTCTGCCTCCAGGTGCTGGGATCAAAGGTGTGCACCACCACCGCTCAGCTTGGATATAAATTTTAAAACAATAAAACATAGAAAATAATTGGAATAAATAAATTTAAAGTTGAAAAGAATGACACAGAGGCTGTCTAAAAATGTCGGACCCATATGATATCGTGGTAACATTTTACCTGATTTGCTCGACAGGCTTTATGTCATCTATCTTACCCTCTACATAAATGTCATTCTCTCGGTGTTTGTGGGAGATGGGTACCAAGATCAGCGAGTGCTCCGGTTCCTTATATAAAATGGCACAGGAGCCTGGCGAGTGTGGGTGGCTGGAGTCCCGCTATCCCCAAAGCGGAGGTTTGAACCCTGGCATTTAAGATCAACTCAGACATCAATTTCCTGTCTCAAAAAAGAAATATATGAATTATTTAAATGGCACAGTATTTGCATAAAACCTAAGTTAAGCGTGTCCTCCAGAGCATCTCAGGCTTGCTTACAATACCTAATACAGCATGAACATTATATAAATGATTGCTATACTGTATTGTTTAGGGAATAATAATGGCAAGGAAAAGTATGTACACATTCAGTGCAGATTTTTTTCTAATATTTTTTAGCCATGGTTGAGTCTACAGAAGCAGAGGTTGGTTATGGAGGGCTGTATGCGCACACACACCCCCCATGTTATACACATGTGTACACACTCACGCACACACACAGTCTGAGGGCCCCAGATCCTCAAAGCCACACTTCTCTCTGGATTCTGTGTGTCAGTGGGTACAGAAGGTCCACCCATCATCCTCTGCCCTCCCTGCCCTTCAGGTCCTATAGGACCAAAGACCTGGGTACCTGGAGCAAAGCTGATGCTATCATTTTATGAAGTACTTGAAATGAATAAATGAAAATGAAGCCCGGCGTAGTGGTGCATGCCTTCAATCCCTGTACTTGGAAGGCAGACAAGGGTAGGCAGTTCTCTGTGAGTCTGAGACCAGCCTGGTCTACATAGTGAGTTCCAGGACAGTCAGAGCAACATAATGAGACCCTGTAGGGGAGGGAGAAGCAGATAGCTAGAGAAAAAGAAAAGAAACTGAAAGCACCCTGCGGACTGGTCTCAGTCCACCCAGAATGCATCCTCCCCTTTAGCCAGGCCTGGTGTGCCTGGGACAGAGGTGGGACTGGCTGTGTCTCCTCAAAGCCAAACTGACGAAAGCCCTGGGGGCCACATTTTTGACTTACCACATTAAAGGAAGCATCCAGAAGAACACTGTGGCCCACGTGGGGATGGGCTTCTTTCCCTGCAGGGATTGGCTCTGGGCCAGTGCAGAAACTGGCTCCTTGCAGGAGGCCTGCATCCAGGCAACCTGGAGTGAGGAGATGGAGAGACGGCGCTGGTCCTCCCAGCAGGTCTGGAAAGCTAGCCCTTAATACAAGCCATAAATCCACACAAGGAAAGTTAGTTACTGTTTAAAGACAGGCCATTAACACACTCGGTCTCCACTGTGACCTTCCATGGGATGGCCCACAGGGCATGAGACCTCCAAAATCAGTCCTTGCCCAGGGATGAGAAGTCAGAACTCTGGAGCTGAGCCTGAGCTATTTCTCTCTCTCTCTCTCTCTCTCTCTCTCTCTCTCTCTCTCTCTCTCTCCCTCTCATCTGTGAAACATAGGCCGGCATGAATTCAATCATTAGCTGCCTCTATCTCCTGCATGGCTGGGATTACATGTATGTGCCACCATGCCGAATGTATGCACTGCAATCACCCTACCAGCTGAACCTCCGTTCAGAGTGAACATGTTTACTACGTTTGGTTTTTTGTTTGTTACTCTCTTTAATTTTGTTTTGTTTTGTTTGAGACGGGGTTTCTCTGTGTATAACCCTGGCTGTCCTGGAACTCTCACTGTAGACCAAGCTGGCCTCAAACTCAGAGATCCGTCTGCCTCCGCCTCCTCCTTGCTGGGATTAAAGATGTGAGCTTCCATTGCCCAGAGTTTTTAAAAGTTTCCTGTACAATGACCCACTGGGCTTGGCAACTGCTGGTCTAGAAGCCTTCCGAGGTGTGCCGTTGTCCTCCAGTGTAATGGATGAGAGGCAGTGTGGAGAGGTGAGGGGGAGTTCAATAGTGGAATCCCAGAAAGGCACACAGGGTGGTTTCTCCTGTAGAGATTTTTCGGTCAGGCCCTTTGTTGGCAGCTAATGAACTCCGAAAGTGTCACACTGAGTAGGTACAAAGGTGACCCCCGGCCCCGGCTCCTCTTACCCCTCAGTGAATCCAAACCATCCCTGAGGTACTAGTCCATCTCTGACCCTCAAATTCTCCCTGAGTCAGAATTAGTGGAGCCCAGAGAGGAGGAGAATAAAACCCACCCAAACACTGTCTTCTGTTTCAGCTGCCTTCCCAAACCTGGCTCCTGGGAGGAAGGGAGACAGGAAAGGGCTGGCTGGAACCCAGCTGTGGGCAAGGCCAGGTGCGAGGGGCCAGCTTGGGGCAGCGGTGTCCAGGCTGCCATGCTGACGAAATAGTCTGCTCCTGACTCATCAGCCTTGAGCGGCAGGCTGGCACTCCCCCACGACCTGCAGGCTGTGCACTGTGTGGCAGGTTTATTTTCTTTTCCTCCAGTTACGCACACTCCTCCATGGGGTCACTGCCTCACTCTGGAGGTTTCTTCTTGAGTTTCTAGACAAACACTGGACCTTGGGGCCTGATCCTATGAGACCTCAGGGAGCCAAACTTTTCCTATCCTTCCCCCAACCACACCCCTACACACACACACAAACACACACACATACACAGTCAGCACTAGCCTAAGCAGACAGCAAGGCTGAGGGGAAAAGGTAGGGAGGGAAGGAGGGAGAAAGTGAAGGGAGAAAGCGAGGGAGACTGCACTCGGTAATCAAACCCAGCTCCTACTTGGCCCCTGTATCTGGTTTCTCCCTCCCTAGGGCCCATTCCAGAAAAGTTCCTTGGTCAAACCCAGTTCAGAACAACTTCCCTGGGAGCCGCCATCCCTCCAGTAAGCCAAGTGTGTGGAGTAAAGGGACGTCAGAGTTGGTTCTTGAACACGTAACACACCGATGGGGAAAACAACCGATAGAATAAACATCTCTCAAGGTCTGACTCTGACCTGGTCAAGATCTAGAGTTGAGAGTCACCTTTGCCAGCAGGGCTCTCCTTCACAGATGTGATGTCCCTCCACATACACTCTACAAAACGTTTGTCGTCTGTCCTCTACTACCTGACTAGCAGTCTTCTTTATTTTTTAAAATTTATTTAATTTTCTTTTATGTTTACTAGTGTCTTGTCTGTGTGAGGGTGTTGGATCTCCTGGAACTCTAGTTATAGACAGTTATGAGCTGCCATGTGGGTGCTGGGAATCGAACATGGGTCCTCTGGAAGAGCAGCCAGTGCTCTTAACCACTAAGCCATCTCTCCAGTCCGACTGCAATTTTTTTTTTATCATGAAATACAGTCGTGTGTGTGACAAAGGCTCACAGGTGACAGCAAACAGCCAACGCTTTGCAATCAGACTTTCAAATGTAAATCCCACACCTCCCTTTTATAGGCCGTGTGAATGTGCAGGACCCACTAAGCCTCCATTTCTTCCAGGGTGAAGATGCGTCTGGGGTTTGGCATAAGGACTGCAGGTCACGGTGTGGTAGCGATCGCAAGGCTCACGGTATTTCCAGATTTTATTTCCTAAGAGCCCAGGGGAGTCTGCTAGAGTCTGCTACTCCTTGCCTGCTTGAAGTTAGTTGTGGCAACTTGACATCCTCTGTCTGGTGGAGCACAGACGGCAATCAGTATCATTTCCCAGCAGATGCAGAACTCTCCACCCTCGCTCCCCTGGCTACAGTGGTTTCTGTGTACCATGCTGAGGTGCTGGGCACAGGCCAGACTCGCAGCCAGCTGCAGATTGTTTACTAAAGAGCAACGCTGTGAGATATGGGTATCTGTTGCCTCCAGTGTTGCCATAGCATTACCTGACCCATCCTGACTAAAACAAGACATCCCACATACAGGACTCTCAAAACAGCAATGTAATAAATAAATCTAATAGATTTATTCGTTTTTATTTTATGTGTATGGGTTTTTTGCCTGCATGCCTGTCTGTGCACCATGTGTGTATGCTTGGTGCCTTCAAGATGCCAGAAGAAGGGGTTGGATCTCTTGAAACTGGAGCATGTAAGCACAATAAACACTTCATAATTGAATATATATAAATGTATATATATGCATGCACACACACATGTGCACACCATGTTTCTAAGGATAAAAATGTAGCCATGGTTTTGCAGGGTGGAGCCTTCCAACATAAGCTCTGATGTTGACATGGCTTCATGAACTGAAGGCAGTTGATTCTCAAGCCCTAGGCTCCTGGGAGGCTGGGTCACACCAAGAGTCTTTGCTAGCCAACATCTGTGGGACTGTACTCTCCTCCAGTCCTCATGATGTGGCAAGGGCAGACCACCCCACGTGGGGTGGGAAAGTGAGGTGCAGGTGATGAAGTGCTTTCCCAAGTGCCACACTGTCTGATGAGACACCCACACTGGGAGCCAGTCAGGCCTGGCTCCTAATCTCACGCTCCGTCTACGGTACCGCATTGCTAGTCACATTCACAGTAACGATCCACCTAGAGCAGCAATGCCCTGGGTCCCCTAAACACTGTCCACCTATACCGCTCTACACGGACAAGGACCAGTGACAGGGTATCATCGCGCTGTGTTCCCCAAGAGAATGAGTGTCTACACTGAGAGCAATGGTGCAGAAAGCCTTTGCCCCGATGGCCATGCCAGAGACCAACAGATAACCCCTATTTGCAAGCTTGGTTACATTTTAACTCAGCACCCAAGGGTGCTATCCAGTACAAGCAAAACAAAGTCCTTGCCTTTTGCTTAATCACTGAGAGCCAAGCGGGAGGAACCTGGGAATACAGCACACTGCTGGTCTCACCTACCGAGAAACCCTGGTCCCTCAGTCCTTACCTTTACTATGACAGGGTGTTCCACAAGGGACCAAAACCTCTGGTGGCCTGGGGAAGCCACTGAGAGCTCGCCCTCTGGTCAAACTCACGCTTTGCAGTACTCGGTCTCTAGCCGTGTTGCCCTGGCACACATACCAGGAAGTGACTCTGCATCTTCACGCAGCCACATGGATGCCTCCACTCCCTGTCTCGCCAGCTGTGACCAAACACTCCACGTCATGTCAGCTCTTCGGGAGAGATGGCCCCCACACTCTTGGTTGATCCAGGGTGTAAGCTGCCTCTGATGGGAGACATTTTCTGGGTCCTCTGTGGCATCTCCATTTCTGTCCCCTGTCCCATGACCGGCAGCCACACACATCCCACTGCTGCTGTGGACACACGGGGGTGATGGTAGGGGAGAAAGGCAGGGATAAATCCCCGGGGATGCTGGACGCCGACTCTGGTGATGAGCCAGACATGCTGGAAGCACGATGCCCAGTTAACATGGGCGACCCCTTCTGCTCGGCAGCTCTGCCCTTCGTCACCCACTATTTTAAGCACAGACATTTGAAGGAACTTACCACACTTTATGGAAGGTAGTTCTTTTAGACCTTTAGACTACTTCAAATTGCTCCCAAATAGAGACGATATTTCAAGAGCCCCAAACCTCCTCGATAGTGCTGTTCAGCACACGTCCACCGACTGCGTTGCTCGGTGACTGGATGAAATGCCTTTGCAATGATAAACTGCTCCTTCTGGGCCCCACAACATCCCTCGCAGAGGAAAGAATAAATCCTCGTTTTTCTGATGGAAATGAATGAGCTCCAGGCTCCCTGCCCCTTGCTTGCTTTGTCCATCATATCAAGTTTCAGTCTAGAAAAAAATCACTCCTTAGGTCTTATTGTGTCCACAAATTTCCTGGTGAACTTGGTAAATAAAATGCAGATTTCTGCTTATCTGGAATGAGGTCCAGGATCTACGTTTCTAGCAATAATCATTTGTTGCTGGTATAAGAGCTTTACTTCGTCTTAACTACTTAACAGGTGGCTGAGGAAAAGAAAATGCCCCGTTAGGTGGGAGGTATGTGGTTGCAGCTGGGCCCTATGGACAGGTAGACAGCAGTGGGCTGCTTTTACTGATGAAGGGGGAAAATGTTCACAGCGATGCTAGTGGCTTTTCCAAGGAATCCGTCCTTCTTGACTGCCCAGCATGCTGGGAGACTCAGAGGCGACGGCGGCACCTTGTCTTATCCTCTAAAAGGTGACGAGTTCAAAGCATTGTGCGGTCGAGGTCTCTAAACACAAAACCCGAATGGGAGAGGAGCCAGAGGTGGGTGAGCGCGTGCCAGCCAGCTCTCACACAAAACCGAGCCACGTCTTTCTTTTCTACCAATGGCCCAATTAGACTGGAGATGGGGTCGCCTTTGATCGGCCTAGTCCCTTTAAAAGAAAGCCGGGAAAACAGTGGCTTTAGGATTTTTCTTTAAAGCCCTGAACCTCTTCAGTAGAAACTGCTGCCCTTTCCGACCTGTTGATGTAATTGCCGTAATTGAAGATTCCAGGCCCCCTGTGGGTGGACAGGGCCCCATTCATCTATCAGGTCAGCGAAGTGTAAACCTGCTGAGTCCTTCAGATGCCCTGGCCGCAGCCTCCCCCTTCTGCGCCCTCCTGTGCCCTCCTGTGCCCTCCTGCCCCCTCTTGCCCCCATGGGCTAGGCTCCCCACAATGCCAGAGCAGCCAGCCCCAGGCTGGTCCCTCTTAGGATGTGGGAACAGTGCCTAATTAAGGGGTTTGTTCTCATCTCCATGGGGCCATCTTAACGCCTCCTGACAGTAATGAGAGACACACACGTGTGGGGATGAGGGAAGGGAAGGACAGCTTCCCTGCTGCCTTAGCACCCCGTAAAGCAGGAAGGCTAACACACACACACGCATGCACGCACATATAGGTGCACATGCAGCACATGCAAAAATGTGCACACACACACACATATGCGCACACACACTGAAGTTCTGCAGTGATCTCCAGCAAACCTTTATAGCTACAAGGAGTCTGTTCCAATTCTGAAAGAGGAAGAAACCAGGGAGACGAAATAACTTGCCCAGAGGACACATAGTGAGTCACTGTCACTGGGCCCCAGGTGTCCTGTTGCACCTCATAGCACTGACTTCCTCAAAGAGGGAGGGGCTCTCCATCGCGGTCCCAGGGGAGCCCATCAGAGGGTGGAGAGGAAAAGACAGGCTCATCCTCTGAAGCCACCTGGTCAGAGGGCCATGCTCACGGAATAACAAAATGGACCTCCATTGCTTGGTTCTGCAAGAGCTGAGTGAGGTTTGAGAGTCTCAAGGACACCCTAAGATCACAGGAGAAAGCCAGCCTCAGAGTGGGGCACTCCCTGCAGCAGCTGGGCCACACCTCATCCTCCTGCACGGTCTTTGGGTTCCTGTCTAGCTTCCTGCCCTTTCCCCATCACTCACAACCCTCACTCTCAGCCCCTCGTATGGCTACAGCCTACCAGCGCCTTAACAGGTAATTCTGTTTTGAACTCTCTGCTTCTCCACCCTAGGCTCTCTGACCAACATCAGGTACAGAGTTTGCTCTCAGGAAATAGCCACCCAATATGATAAAAGCCAAGCTGACACCTGCTCCAACTCATTCTAAGTGACATTCGTTCCTTGTTATGACCACAGTTCTGCCTACAGAGCGAGCCAGGGAAGTGCCCTGCATTTCAGGTAGGGCAGACATGCTGAAGCTAAAATGGGCTAAATCTGAGATCAACTGGCTTGCTAAAGATAAAAGGGCCTTCGCAGATCTATAGGGAGGACACTTGAGAACCCTAGCTCGTCCCAGAAGAAGACCAGAGTGAATGGCTCTCAGGGCTCTCCCCTTGAGAGTGAACTGCACTTTCCAGAAGATGCCAGAAGATGCTGTTGACTAAAGGGCTCTGGGATGTAGTCACCGCCTCCGGCTACCCTGTTCTCATCAGAGTGGAACAGTTCCTTCCTGTCTGCTCCTTACTCGATTCCTGTAATCTGTCACCTGCTCAGGAGTCACCCCTCACTGTCTCCCACCTTCACCACCAAGCAGAATGGTCACTTGCTGCTGCGACGTGCCAAGGCTTCTAGAAGCAGGACTCTAACTCTGTGCGTACCGTGGTTTGAACAGGGTGACTCACATCTCAGAGGGGGTTGAGGGACACTTTACTCCTCAACTCAGCAGTTAGCAGGGGGACCCTGTTGTTTTGGAAGTTTGCAATGTAATAGAACAGGCTCATATGTAAGTAAACTTGGCCTTTTCTTAGTCATCATATGAAGAACAGTGGCTATGGATCACTTCCACAAGCTAAGGTAAGACATGTATGTGCCTCTGACGCTAAGTGCAAGCGTGGCTAAAATGGAAGAGAACCATGTCCCAGCATACAGAACTGGTGGCAGTAAAAAGCCGGTGCAGAATTTCTATACATAGCCAGTTTCTGCAACAGCTTGTAGTGGAAACTGCAGGCAAAGTACTGTGCCGTCCAGTGTAAGGATGGGGCCGGTGCTGTGCAGGATGACTGGTCTCTGGGACAGACGTGGATCCGGGAGTAAGAGTCAGGACTTCGCATGTGGGAGGTCTTGGATTTGGCCCCAACACACAATCGAGGACCTATGCCTTCTTTTGAACCAATCAGATATAAAGACGGTCTTAATTCTTTGTCTAAAATGTGTTCAAAGTAAGAAATAATGGCAAATAATTTACAATTGAATGTGTGCACTGTTATACTATGAAAATAAAAACCAATGTGTCCCTTAGAGGAAAATTCACAATATATACATACATATATATACATATATATATATATATATATATATTATTCTTTGAGAGTCTTTATGACTCTCTTCGTTTCTACTGGATATTCCCCTTCTGCAAAGCCTGCTTAAGTAAGGCAAAAAGACGACGGTACAGAAACGGTGAGAGGTTCTACACATTCCCATAAAGTTACAAGAATTTTATTTTGCCATCATGTCAAATGACAAAAGCAAGTTATAAATGATCGTAGATATAAGACCATCAAACTTCTGAAGTCATGAAGAAAAATAAGAAAAGCATTCAAACGCCAGAGCAATTGCCTTGGTTTACCTTCCCTGTATTTTCTCGTTAAAATGGTTATTCCATTTATTTACCTACCTGGGGGAGGAGAATGTGCCGTAGCACACCTGTAGAGATCAGAGGAGATTGTAGGAGATGGTTCTCTCCTTCCACCGCGTGGGTCCCGGAGATCAAACTCCAGCTGTCTGACCTAGCTTGCTGGCCCCCTGTATCTTTACATTCTACTTGCCGGTCTTCCTCTAATTTTTTTTTAAAATAACATGAATTAGTTTTGGAGGGAAAAAAGAATTTATATACAAAATCATTGCCTGGAAAGCCTTGTGCTTCATGCTCCAACCTGGAGGGCAATAGCGCTAGCATTCTACTTGGATGCCACCTTGCCACCGGCCCAGACACGCAGGCCTCCCTGAACACTGTGATTAGCGGGAAGGCTTTGGAAGTGACCGGATGTTTCAGGCCATATCAGTTCAGGCGTGAACTCTCCAGAGGAGATTCACACTCATTTGTTTGCTTGTTTTTAGACAGGGTCTTGCTATGTAGCTCTGACTGTCCTGGAACTTGCAGAGATTCTCCTGCCCCTGCTGGGATTAAAGGCATCTGCCACCACACCTGGTGGACAGACAGATGCTTTACTTCTGTTTACAGTCTTGACCACAGCTTGTCACCTTCCAGGGAACAATGGGTGACTGGGTGATGTGATGATCTGTCTGTCTAGCTGGTTTGATTGGGTGACATGATGATCTGTCTAGCTGGTTCGGATGATCAAATAGAACTGAACTTTAGACCTGAGAAATCCTGGGAGGATACGAACATCCTTACGTGTACTTCAAGGTTCAGCCTGAACCCGGTTCCTTGATGGCTTCTATGGGTCCACTGAGTTCCTGCTCCTTCACATGGCAGCAATATCTCTTCCTGTTTCACTGTCCCTGCCTCCACGTTCCCCTGTGGCCTTGGCCAACTACCATTTGAGTCCTTAGACCAGCCAGTTTGCAAGTTGTTCATTGGCTCTCTCACTTGACTCTGGATGAGGCTCTGCATTTTCCCTTTGGTTTAGATCTCCCTTTGGGGGCTAGCACAGTCTAAGCACATCTGATCCATCTG